CACAGTGTCTACGGACAGTACGGATGTTGTACTGCGATATTATAGTGTACGTGTTCATTATACATTGGATTGGCACATAAAAACAATGAAAATGTATTGGGAAATGTGCGCAATAAATGAACAAAAATATATTCGCGGCAACTCGCGCGCCCCGCCCCGAGCGCCCCACCGCCTCCGAGAGCTTACACCACGGGCGCACGGGGAATGATGACGTCACGCCCCAGCTTCTGGACCCCATAGCACCCAAAGTAAGTACAATTTCGAGGTTTTTTTTACATACCCATACTCAGGGAAGGGTTTTTGACACTTTAAAAAGAAAAAAAGAATTTTTTCCAGAGAATTTATTTCCTGCGCACTGCGGGGGTGTCACATTTGGAGGCAACGCAGTTAGGGGGTTAAATATTCAACTAGAAACCTCAACTTACCTTTTTGTTGTTCGTCTTCTTGATTGATGACACATCTTGAAGTTAAAAATTCTTGACAATTTACGTAACTTATAGTAACACAACACTAAAATTAACACTTAAAATTACTGTACAGTTCATTAGGCAAAGTTAGTTCTCACTGTCTGCTGAGGATGCCTCACTGGTTGAAGGCACTTGGGTTGCGTGTGCCGCCTCACTTGTTGAAGGCGCTTGGGTTGCGCGTGCCGCCTCACTTGTTGAAGGCACTTGGGTTGCGTGTGCCGCCTCACTTGTTGAAGGCGCTTGGTTTGATTTTCGTACCATATATGAATCAAGTGTTGCTTGCCTTCTGTGTTCACTGGCCAGTTGTATGATGAGCTCTGTTGTTCGCCTAAGGTACGGATACATGTTTCCAACCTCTGGATGAGCACAGTTTGATGAAAAATTTATTAATCCGTCAACATACGTCATGAGTACACTGTATTTCGTGGTCATTGGTGTTGGTTCTTCACTGCCTTCTTCATCCTCTTCGTCCACCTCACCAGTAACAGACTGTAGAATCTCGTCTTCACTCATCACACCATATCCTGGATCATTGGCATCTTGTTCAAGCCAATCAACCACATCCTGTCATTCTAAGTTTTCGCCGGCATTTCTAAACATTCCATGGATTTCATCTGTAAATTCTTCAAAATCCATTTCTTCATCTTCCTCATTTCTGAACGTAGACGTGAGGAGTTTTTTCCAGGAATTTTTCAAAGTCGATTTCTTTAATTCACTCCACACCTTGGCCCAGTTATAGATGGCTTCCTTGATTGTATAGTTCTTCAAATTCTGAAGGTTTTTTTTTAGCCCTGTTATCCACACCGAGTTCAATATCTTCCGGAAGAGGCAAACCCACCAAAACTTCGTTTAGCATTTTTTTGGTGTACAACCTCTTCGTAGCACAGATAACTCCCTGATCCATAGGCTGAATGAGAGAGGTTGTGTTAGGAGGAAGTGCCATACATGTTATCTTGCCATCATGTGAGGTTAACGTGTCAATTCTGGGGTGGGCAGGCGCATTATCAAGCAACAGTAAAGCCCGAACTTCGCTTGGCCTTATTTTGAGTTTCTTAATTTGATAGGCACGAACTTCCCTGCAGAACACATCATGAAACCAGGAAAGAAAGATTTCCTGTGTAAACCATGCATTTTTTGAGTTATAATATTTCACTGGCAGTCTGTCCATGCAATGTTGCAAGGCTCTTGGTTTCTTAGATTTGCCAACAATTGCACACGTGATTCTGTCTGTGCCGTCAGCATTCGCACACATCATGGCTGAGAGCCTGTCCTTGCAAACCTTACGTCCTGGCACACAACCCTCACTCCTCATTGCTAGAGTTTTTTCTGGTAAACTCCTCCAATACAACCCAGTTTCATCTGCATTATAAATTTGATACGAATATATATTATTTGCCACAGTATATTCTCGTAATTTATGTTTAAATGGTTCTACACTGCTTTCATCTGCACTCAGTTTTTCACCGACAATTTTCCTCTTCACAATATTGTGCCTACCCTTGAACCTTGCAACCCACCCTTCACTCGCTTCGAAATTCTTTATTCCAAGGCTTTCAGCAAATCTGCTTGCAGCATTTTGTATTTCTGGGCCGCGAATTGTCACACCAGCTGTGCGGTGCTGAGCAAACCACTTGTACACAGCCTCATCCAACTGCACATGCGTCGAAGTTTTCATAGTTTTTCTACCACAACCTCTGCTAGTGCTTGCACCTTCACTTTCACACGTTGAAATGAATTGCATAAGTTTCTCTTTTTGTTTCCTTATATCAGAAACAGTACTAGTGCCTATATTAAATTCCTTGGCAACACTTGAGGTCGACCGGCCATGTTCACAAAGTTGTATAACACGTAGCTTGTCCTTAAGTGTTAGGACAACCTTCTTCCTCTTACCACCTCCAGAACGATTCATGCTGCTACCAGACATAGTCTTGGCCAAAAATGTTCAAAGTTACTATGAAAATAAAAAAGTTATTTAAAAAAATATTTCACTAATGGCACGGCACTGTGGTGTAACACGAGGTTAGAGAGCACATGGCTTGACCAGGCCTGGACGGGTCCAGTCGGGGCAGGGAGGAGGCACGTTACGTAGGCCGCCAGGAGGAAAAAAAATATATATATTTGAAGGAAACTTCAGCCTGTGCAAATTGTTTTTAGGAAACTTGTATGGAATTTTTTATTACATAATTACTAGTATTTCTTTTGATTTTGGCTATGATGAATTGTTCTAAAATTGATAGTAATTACTGTACTGTAGTGTATAGGCCACTCCCCATCCTCCCCCTAATCCCCCCAGGTGGTCCCTCCCAACGCTCCCCTCTTTCCTGACACCACCCTGTAACAATCTAGGCTGGTTGTAAGAATTATCCAGAGTGGTTTATCGACAAAAGAGAATGGGAAGCTGGGCCCGCGTGGTGACCCGGGACCTGACCCCAGGGGAATTCGCGGTGAAAATAATCGACGCCTTGTTCATAGCTGCGTATAATGAATCATCGTATAGTATTCAGTAAGAGAAATTAGCCTTTATTAATTTTGTATTAAAATTGTATTGTATAATATTACTGGGTACAATATCAAGAGTATTCTAATTATTGAGTTAAGTCACCATCAGTGACATCACGAATCAGATCTAAGTTGTAAGGCGGAGTGACCTGGCGGTCATAAGTCATCAGAGTTGACATGTACACTATTTTCTCAAAGTTCAATTAACCATTTTGGTGATCGGGAACAGCTCTGCTGTTAGAGGCTTGTGTAATTTAACTTCAGTAAAATAATTCAACCAGTCTGGATCAATTAAGTACAACAGAGGTTAATTGTTATAACTTAAACCTTGCTAGTAACTTGATAAAACTTAGACTATGTGGAAGGATACAATGCTCTAGTCTGGGGTAGACCAGACGAGGAGAGATTAGTGTGGACTCCAGATCAACTGGGGGAGGTCAACCCATCTCACCTCTCCCCCAAGACCAGCCCAACATCTTTAGCTGGTAGAAACATAGAGGTATAGTTGCTATTGTTATTTATAGGGATAGTCAACTCATTGCCGTTCAGGTCAAGTAGGGAGTGTTAAAGTGACAGGGAGTGAACATATTTAGATCTTGTTTTAGTTGTCTTTTAATAAATTAATTAGTTAATATTTTGCATTTTTATTATTTCCATGTATTTGTTATATGTACAGCATGTGAACTTGTCCTGGTCACGTGGTCCACACGAGGCAGAGTTGGATTGGGCGCCGATTCTAACACCAAATCGGAAGTCATCTTTACCGTGTAATTAATTCCACACTTAACAACTCTCAAGCTCATCGGTTATAGTGGGGATCAAGCCCCAAGGTTGATTTATTAGCATGATCGATCCAGACCTCGATCATTGCTCTGTGTTACTGGTCTGGTGGTGGCGGCGGAGGCGACTAGGGTTTTGCTCAAAGCCTATGTCACGTCATACGGGTTGTAGAATCCTAAGTCGGTCAATCGTCTTAGGACCGCGTGGCGTGGAGTTGGCTTTAGTAAAAGTTTTGGAGTCCCTTGGTAGAGAATAAAAAGTAAGAATAGGGGTAGAGGGGGAGAAAAAGGAAAGATAGTTCGAGAAACCCTTCCCCGTGTTACAACCCACCCACCCCACCCCCACCTACACATATATAATCCCGGATATCTGCCTCGAGTCTCGGGCAGACGGGATTAATACCATATGGCCCGCCTCATGTTTTCATATACGGACAAAGGCACGATTATCCAGGCGACTGACCGGATAGTGTAATTTCTGCAGAAAATTAACTGGGCCCCAACATTTTATCCGACTAAACCTGCTTTAATCCGGTCCCTGTGGCTATTTTGGCCGGATATTGTGATAACTTTATCCGATCGCAATTTTGGCCGTATAAGGGCGTTTTCCGGATGTTTGAATCCCGGATAATCGCGGGGTTACTGTATATAGTTGTACCTAGTAGCCAGAACGCATTTCTTGGCCTACTGTGCAAAGCCAGATTTGCCTAATAAGCAAAGTTTTCCTGAATTTATATATTTTTTTAAATTTGTTCTTATGAAATGATAAAGCTACCCATTTCACTATGTATAGTTCATTTTTTTTCAATTTGAGTCAAAACTAACGTAGATATATGACCGAACCTAACCTACCCTACCTAACCTAACCTAGCAAAACGTAACCTAAACTAACATAACTAAATCAATAACTTGTGTTCTTAGTATAATATAATAATAATTAAAATAAACCAATTGGAAACAGTTTGTTGAAAAAAAAAGAAAATCACTCGGCCTATTAGGCAAATCGGGCCTTGCATAGTAGGCCAAGAAGTACATTCTGGCTACTAGGTACAACATATATATATATATATATATATATATATATATATATATATATATATATATATATATATATATATATATATATATGAGTTAGTGCATTTTTCGGGAGATGACATTATTGATATAGGCATTGTAAAAGAGAGCTAAAAATAAAATAATGTTTCTATGTACATCTTTTCACTCTTACTACTTATCATACTTGTCACTGTTACAGAGAACCAGTACTACTTCACTTAAGAAAATCAACAACAATGTATCTACATCTTCATAGACTAGGATTAAAGTGCTCCTCATGAGTTGTTGTTAATGGCTTACTCTCATCATCAGCTGTTCATATTTAGTCACTGCTTTGTTGAAACTGAGTAACTGAGTGAAAATCTTGCCTAAGTAAGCTGTAATGAAAAAAAGATGAGAAATGGCGTGAAACTATATAAATCTTCACAGTATTCATAAGAAATAAACAAAATAAATTTTAATTGAAAATAAATTCATACAGAAACTGAACTACATTAATGTTTATTGCATCTTAAAGCTATGTCTAATAAACATGAGTAACATTTTATGATGGCTCATGCAGAAAAATGATATAAACTAAAAAAAATTGTCAAATATTTGAAAGTAGAAAAACTATGTCAGTGTTGAAAGTGTAAAAGAAATTTCATTAATTTTTAATATACAGAAGTTCATGTAAAAGATAAGCTATGTTTAGTGTCTGAAATATTTTAAATTTAGTGCTAGTAAAACATATTAGAGTTCATGCAAAAATGAAACCATATCAGTGTTCTGAGTGTCTTAACAGTTTTAAACAGAAAGCACATCTACTACAACATATGAGAATTCACACAGGAGAGAAACCACATCAGTGTTCGGTGTGTCCAAAAGGCTTCACACACAAATCAGCTCTGGTACAGCATATGAGAATTCATACAGGAGAGAAACCTTATCAATGTTCAGAGTGCTTAAAATGCTTTTCACTTAAAGCAACTCTTGTAAATCATGGAAGAGTTCATACAGGGGAAAAGCCATATAAGTGTTCAGAGTGCCAGAAAGGCTTTTCACAAAAGGCACATTTAATCCAACATTTGAGAGTTCATACTGGGAAAAAACCATATCAGTGTGCACATTGTTTAAAAGGCTTTTCACAAAAGTCATTTCTAATTCAACATATAAGGGTACATACAGGTGAGAAACCATATCAATGTTCAATGTGTATAAAATGTTTTTCACAAAAGCCACATTTAGTGCAGCATATGAGAGTTCATACAGGTGAAAAGCCTTATCAATGTACAGTTTGTCACAAAGGCTTCTTACAAAAAGGAAATCTAATAAAACATATGAGAATTCATACTGGAGAGAAACCATATCAGTGTTCAGAGTGTATAAAAAGCTTTACTCAAAAGGCGCATCTAGTACAGCACATGAGAGTTCATACAGGAGAGAGACCATTTCAGTGTTCATTGTGCCTGAAAGATTTTTCAGACAGGTCAGCTCTAGTACAACATAAAGTAGTTCATACAGGAGAAAAACCATATCAATGTTCAGAGTGTCTAAAAAACTTTGCACTTAAAACCAGCCTAGCTAAACACTTGAAAATTCACAAAAAAGCAAAATCATATAAATGTTCAAAGTGTCTTAAAAGCTTTGCACAAAAAATACATCTAGTGCAGCATATGGAAGTTCACATAGGAGAAAACCTATTTAGTGTACAATGTGTATAAAAGGCTTTGTAAATAAAAATCTAGTTAAACCAACTAAAATTTTTACAGGTGAATATGTGGATTTTCAAGAGGCTTTTATGGACAGGATCCATGAAAGTAGTCATGTTGTCCAATTGTAATATTGGGACATGAACAGTATTTAGTGGTTAATTCTGTTGTTGGGCCGGGAATTACTAACATATACAAAGTGACATAGGGTAATCTTACATAACCATACTGGTTTAGCACTTAGTTTTTTTAACTATTTATGTGACATGAATAAAATTTTGATGAATATATGTAAATCTTTTGATGAATATTTGTAAATCTTTGGGTTTTTATGAAGAGCTGGTGTAATAATGCTATGCTGTAAAAATTAGCTTTGACTACTTCAACTTCAGCACCCACATTCAACACATAACTAAGAAAGTCTCTAAGACAGTTGGTATACTCTCCAAAATCAGATATTATGTTCCTAACTCTGCTCTCCTCTCACTATATTATGCACTAATCTACCCCTATCTTAATTATGGTATCTGTGCATGGGGGTCTACCACTGCAAACCACCTTAAGCCCATCATCACACAGCAAAAATCTGCTATCAGAATGATAACTAACTCAGCTTTCAGACAACACTCAGTTCCCTTGTTTAAATCCCTAAACTTGCTAAATATTAACTCCCTCCACACATTCTCTTGTGTCAACTACATTTACAAAACCCTGTTCTTAAATGCAAACCATGCTCTGAAACTCTCCCTGGACAGATGTAATAGGACCCATTATCACCACACCAGAAATAAATATCTCTTTGATATCCCCAGGGTCAAACTTAATCTGTGTAAACACTCTATGCAAATTAAGGGACCTAGTCTATGGAACTCACTCCCTAGTGAATTGAAAAACTGTAAAACTTTTGCCTTATTTAAAAGCAAAACCAAAAAGTACCTAACTTCATCTTCTTAGTTTCCTACACTGAGCTTTAAATTTGCTCTGTACCTAGTGTTACCCAATCTCCTAATTTTTATGTAATATCAAACAACCTTATCATTGTGTTCATTGCTGTCTTCTTTTATGTGCTAGCCATATGCTGTATTGTGACTACCAATTTTTGTTCAACTACCATTCAAGCTGTCATTGCAACCAATCTTATATTGTTTCTGCTGTATTGTGCCTACCAATTTTTTTTTGTCAACTACCATTCAAGCTGTCATTGCAATCAATCTTAGCTACCTATGTGCTTTAATATACTGTACCTACAATTTTCTCTCATCTTTTTTTCATTTCATGTAATCTGTTATCATTTTTTGTCTATAATTTTGCAAGTATTTACCTCCTTAAAATTTTCTTAGATTAAGGACCTGCCCGAAACGCTGCGCGTGCTAGTGGCTTTACAAGACTGTAATTACCATATTTGTATCCTCACATTCCTTATGTACATTCTTGTATATGCATAAATAAATAAATAAATAAATAAATAAATAAATAGACTGAAGTTAAAACTAATGGAAGTAGCAAGAGAAGGGAGCTATTTTTTTAAAGTTAGTTCATAAACATTAACCCTTAAAATGCGCATCACGTCATATGAAGTGTTGGACGTTGTTCCAGTCAACTGCGCATCACGTCATATGACGTGGTGGAGTATTACGCAAGATTTAAACAGCCCGCGGATACACGGGGTTCACCACACCTTCATTAGGGCTCTTGTAAACAGACACCATTTAAAAAAAAAAAATCGTGGGCCAAACTCCCGGGTGTTATTGGCCTCAGTATTGAGTGAGCAACCAAGCTTGATGCACGCAGCATGAGCTAACAGCACTGCTGTTCAGCTTGTGACCGCAGCATTGCCTAAAAATGCCAAAATATACTTGTTCATGCTATTATGTAGCAATGATATTACAGAAGACCCTTGACTGTGATAAAACTGACCAGGGTTCTGATAATAGCAGGATTGTGGTGATATTTAGCGCTGTGCGCCATGGAGGGAGGAGTAATGCTGTGGGAGGGAGGGTGGTGGCGATGTCTTCTTACTGTGTGTGTGGCCACCTTTTATTGACTGCACTCACCATATCAGCTTAGTGGTTCGCTATGGTGAACACAAATGTAGATACTTATATATAACGTGTGTATAGAGGGTATAAACAGCAAGAGAAGGTTTGGAGCCGCCATTTTGGTGAGGGCGGTGTAAACAACACCGTGCAGACGACGGTGTTGTTTACTGGTTACCACGATGGTCTTTGGGCACCATACCAGTTTATTTGTACAAGTATGGCGAATAGAACAGGTAGATATTTATATATGTGTGTATATAGCATAATAACACCACACAGAATTGTTGGAGGAGAAATATTAGTGCGTCTAGCCTTGAGGGTGGCAGCCATCAGCTGACTGTGTGAGGTCCTACGTCTTTGTGCCTTTACTCACCATACAAGCTTAGATGTACAGTTATGATGAACAAAACATGTAAATACTTATATATAACGTCTGTATATAAGATATATAGCGTAATAACACCACACAGTATTGTTGGAGGAGAAATATTAGTGCGTCTGGCCTTGAGGGCGGCAGCCATCAGCTGACTGTGTGAAGTCCTACGTCTTTGTGCCTTTACTCACCATACAAGCTTAGATGTACAGTTATAGTGAACAAAACATGTAGATACTTATATATAACGTCTGCATATAGTGAATTATAGCAAAAACAGTATTGTGGGAGGAGAATGTGGGTGAGTGAGATGACTTGAGGGAGTGCGTGAGTGGCTGGCTGGTACACGGGTGTCACTCCTCGTTACTTTTTGACTCATAATAGCTACTTAGTGGTTGGTTATAGTGAACAAAACATGCAGATACTTATATATAACCTGTGCTTATAGTGTAATAGCCGACAAAGTATCTGTTCACTGATTGATGAACATAATTGAATCAACAATATGCACACCATATTTTTGAGTAAAGCAATGATTCACTCATTTTATTATATAAATATATCAAACTACACACTATTGAATAATATTACAGCAAAAAAACTATGAAAAATCAGAGACATTGAAATAATTAGGTAATTATCACTTTGTGGCAACTCCGGCCTGACAGCTGGCGAGCAACAGACCGCCTGGGATGCACGCTGAGTCAGCGCCTATAATTTGCCAGACTTCCCCGCCCTATAGCGGGCAATATATGCCACTTACGATTTTTTTATTAATTTTCCCGTCATCAGTGAACACAAATTAACAGGTTAGGAAGAAAAAATATATATTTTTTTTCCCAAATTACATGCGCCTGTGGGGAAGAAAGGATATTATACCCCTAGCATGTTAAGGGTTAACACTTATCGTGCTCTCGGCAGAACGCTCTTTAACTTTCCTCTTGTGGGCCGAGCATTTCGGGCGACTGCGCGGCGGCACTGAAATGTTTATACTCTTTTCGGTCTGCTGACCTTAATTTTCCATGTATGTATTTAATTTTGGTATAAATTTGTTCGCAAGAGAATTCTCTAGAGGAATATATATATAAAATTTCACCAAAGCCAACATGAGACCCGCACCAAATAAAAACTATAGTGATCATTAGCCGTGAGCGCCAAACGGTGATGAAATGTTTATGCTCTTTTCAGGTTTGTCAACCCCAGACTTATTCTACGTCGTTAATTTTGATATCACTGATCGCAATAAAATTCCGTACACAGATATATGAATATAAAGTACAAGACATGGGTGCGTCCCACCCGCAAGACATGGGCTTGCTCAAGGGTTACCCGCTACCACACGCCCAACTGCACATCGGTTACACCCCTACTGAAAAGTTTATACTCTTCATGTTTTTGACCGTAATTTTCGATGTACGTGCTTCAATTTGGTATCAATGTGTTCTCAATGAAATATTCTAGAGGAACATATGTATAACATGTCACCAAAGCTAACGTGATGCCGGCACCAAATAAAAAACTAAGTCGTTTGTTAGCCATGCACGCCAAACAGCACTAACATGTTGCTACTCTTTTTTCGGGTTTATCAAGTCCAAACTTGTTCGACATCGTTCTTTTTTGTATCACTGTGATCGCAATAAAATTTCCTACACAGACATATGCATATAAATTAGACAACATAGGGGCGCATAACCCGCAATGACCCCTAAAGTCGCTGAAGCCTTACCTACTAGAGCACACTCATTGCCACACCCGCTACACCCAATACACCAGACAAACACATACAGTTTGCTAACAGAAGTTTTTGTGCAACATTGTTCATTGTGGTATCAAATTATTCACAATAAAATGCTCTAAATAGACAAATATAAGCAATACCAATAACAAAGTATAAAGACTAAAGTCAGCCAAGTTACCCATGAGCGCGCAAAATCAGTAAAATATATATACAGAGCACCACTTGGTTTCTGAAACCCTTGGGAACGAGACCCGTCGGTTAACATGTAAGTTGGTATACAAGAAATGGAGGAAAAATATAAAAAAAATTGTGACAAAATCTAGGGGGAAAAATCGACAGGTTCGTAGCGTAAATGCGATCGTATTTTGTTTGTACTCACCAATAATTGAAGTCCTGATCTGCTTATGTTGATGATTGATGTTGATGAAGCATAGTTATTTACATGGAATTGGTAGTGGTGGATGTTGATGGTGTTGGGTTGACTGAAGTTGTTGGGTTGACTGGGTCAACATGCGATAAATCGGGTGCAGGTGATGCAATGCGAGCTTTCTTGGAAGCCATTGCAAAAGACTCTGTAATTGACATTTGTTTCATTCTCTTGGCTCTTGTTTTTAAAAACTTCATATACAAATTGTACTGACTCATCATGTCCTTAATTTTAAACTCGCTGTAACCCGTGTCGATAAATGCAAGAATGTCTTCAAAAATTTTCTGAATTTTTTCCATATTACATTTTTCCTTTAACGTTTCTTCATCCTCTTCCTCTCCATCTTCTTCATTACACTCTTCTGGCTTTTTTGCTGTACATACTAATTCTATAATTTCTTCATCAGTCATGTTTTGATTGTTTGGGGCTTCTTCATCAAAATCTATCCATCTATGTCATCTTCTGTTGTTTCAATCACCAGTTCTGCTCTAAGCTCAGGGGACTTAATCCCCTTGACATAGGCTAGGAGTTCCTCTCTTAATTTTTTCTTCTCGCTAACTTTCTTCACCGCAAATCCTTCAAAATCTGCCTCGTCATCTTCCTCAGGAAATAGACTTGACGTGGGCCAAAGGTTTTTCCAACCATTTCTTAGTGTTGTCTGCTTTACCTCATCCCATGCACTAGCGATAGTCCAGATAGCTGACTTTATTGTG